ACCAAAATTATTAATTAACATTACCTTTATTAATTTAAACAATGAGATTAAGTCAAAGTCACATAACTGACAATTTGCACAGACGAATTATCAGACCGAATTTTCATATACTGTATTATCCTACTATTGTTACACAATTTATTAACATACTCTTTTTTAGGTTCATTTAGGTTCTTTTGATAGCGATAGCAGAAAATAGCTATGAAAACGTCAAGGTAATTTTTCAAATTAATTTCTTTACTAATTGGAATTTTCTCTTACAGCTTGATCCTAAGTGTGTCGCAGGATACCCTCTAGGTTATAGTTCTTGACTACTTTTTGATAAATAATTCGTTCTTATTGCGAAATAGGAGCACTATTTATCAATCTGTAATAAAAGACGTGAGGAAATGATGTCTTTTTTAAAGACAAAAATTTTTGAGGCGAAATACCCAAAAAGAAGTTTGTAAAAAAAATGAATCCGCCTCAACAATATAGAACTTATCTACAACTTAGGCCGAAGTTTGTTATATAAATGGAAAATGTTTCGATTTTCAGTCTCCATCAGACTATTTTCGGTTATTTGTTATTTGACCCGAAACCAGTGAAGTTAGAAAAAGACTTCTGCATGCAATTTATAAGAAATAGTCATATTTTTATATGGGAAACGTTTGGATTTTAAGTCATCATCAGGATATTTTCAAGAAAGGTTGGTGCCCGCTCATGACCCTGGTAAGGGTTCCTGAAAGTTTGTTTCGGATGAAAAAACTCAACATTTAAAGATATTTCGAATCACTAATCGAATGCCTGTTCCGTTGAATCGACCCTGGTACACCGACACTGTGCGACAAGAACAGACTGATTTCCATGGCAACCGCTCTGTTTGTCTCTCTCTTGACTGCAGCCCGACTACATCAGTTTGACTACGAGGGGAGATGGGAACTACCTTCTAAACAATTTACTTACCCACTAGAAAAAATTTCGCGTACTTTTAGCGCGCTTTGCCATCAAGATATAGACGCTAAAGATTCCGGAAAAATGGATTTAGGAACGTGGTGTTTTGGAGCCGAAGGCGCTACTGCAACCCGCCTGGAGGATTCGAGATAATCGTCAGTGCGCGCCGTTGATCACAATAATCAAAGGGCAATCAAGGCGAAGGAACAGAAGAAGACGAGAAGAAGCAAGGTCGTTGCTGCTGCTGCTGGCCGCTGGTTGTGGGCCATCAGTGGCACGTAGGCGTCAATCTGCATGACGAAAAAACTCCGGCTTGTCCGCTTCATTTCGGGCCAAACCCCCGATCTATTTACGAGACATTCCGACTGGCAATTTCCAAAATGCGAATTTTCCTCATTCGAAAAAAAACCGGCAGGGATTTATCACCGGCTATTTCGATACATCAACTGGGTGTTTCGGATGCTTCAAATTGCCGCTCAGAATTCCGCTTAAGAATAGACCGAAGACATTGTCGAGATTCCGCGCCGATTGGAAAAGTCGCAGGAATCGTCATCGTAGGCCTGCTGGCGGACTTATTCGTCCCAGTTGGCGGACAATGAGACAGGCGAGCATCAAAAACCGGACAAGCCGCCGTTTCCACTCGTATTGTCTCCTCATTCCAAATGGGGCCCAGCCGTAATTCAACGTGCTACTTTACATATTACACAGATTCCACCGCATATGACGGTTTCTGTAAAAAACCCTCGTATTTCCATATACATAATATTACTACGGCCTTTTTACGACACTCCCCGATTCAATGGCCGGCCGGGAATCAATGGACAATGTGTAATAATTTTCCGAGCTTTATTTATGCCTTTCCTATACGCTCCGAACGGTAAAAGCCACTTTGTTTTCGGCATTTCGTGATATACTACCAGTGCCGTGGCTCGCAGCACATTGTTTTCAAACCATCATAATCAGCTTGCTTATGCTTGCAATTAGCACTCAAGTAGTCGCATTTCCAGGACAAATGAACATCGCAGTGATTCACAGCGGTTCAGTTATTTGCCGTGAGGTTGGCCAGTATCTAGTAGCCATTCAAGTGCAGAATGTTGCAGAAAACTGTCCTCATTTCACTGTGCTTGGTGACGGAAAACGTGCAATTCGGGCGGGCAATCCAGTGCTTTCAATGCCTTCTAGCTGATCGCCCCTTCTACGAGGACGGTGAGTCAATCTCTCTCTTCAACCCTCCCTGGTAACCTTCCGCATATTCCGATCGACCCCACGCAATAATCCAGAGAGAGCCCAACATAGCCATTACCATGGTGACGCGGCCGTCCTTGTCGCACCTGCCCTAGATACAAGGGCCGATTGCGAAATAGAATTTGTGAAAACCTGATTCCCCTGATTCAATTGCAGCGCAGGCTCCAGCAGAGAAAACCTGCAGGGACTTTGACCGGTCGCCAGCCTACGTGGTGGACTGTCCGGAGTCGACGTTTTGCTACAAAAAGACAGTGGAGGATCGCTTCTACAACAGCCCCTATGTGAGGGAGGAAAGGGGCTGCGCCCCTCAGATGTATCGGGGGCTGAAACAGACGGCCAGCCTCCAATGGGTGACCGAGAGCCGCTTGATCCAGGGCGCCTATGAAAGGGGCTGCAGGAGAGTGGAGGATTTCGGGCTGCGCTCCCTCCATGAGACTGAATGCTTCTGCGATGAAGGCGATCTTTGCAATTCTGCAGCAAAGCTGCAGAATTGCTGGCTTTGGCTGCTGTTTATCGTCAGTGGGGCTTGGGTAATAAAAATTCAGTGAATATTCTGCTGTAGCCTTTTACTCATCAGTGTCATCAATTAGGGCCAGTCGGCCCAGACACCCTGGGCGCAATTTAACCTAAATAACCCTTTTGACCATTACAAAAACCCACAGCGCCGCCTTAACCCATTTTTTAATTGCGTTCTTCGAGGCTCTACAGGTGTTTTGGTTTGTTATTAAGGGCGGTAGCGGGCAGTGGCGTTCCGGCCTCGGGGCTTCGCGCTGCCGAATGCCACTGTTTGTGGGCAGGTGGGCCCCGGGCGCCGCCACTGGCCGAATTAAGAAGCCTGCCCCGAAGCAGGTGCCTCCAGAAACACAAAATGAATCAAATCACCGGAGGACGACCGACAGGTGCATGTGTCGGCTTCGATTTCGCTTTTTGACGAAGATCGGAGCCGATTCACTGTCAAGATAATCGGTAGTCGAGATAAGTGCTGGGTGGTGGCTAATGGTCGCACATGTTGATTGGCGATTTTTAGACAGTTGCCACAGTTTTTTGCAAAACAAAGTTGATTTTGACTGATTTTACTGTCTAAAATCGCAAGTTGATGGTTAGTTCCAACCAGTTCAATCGGGTTAAATGCTAGAAAAGTCCAGGTTGTTTTGAACCGGCCCTGGTACATCGGCAACGTGCGACAGGAACAGACTGACTTCCATGGCAACCGCTCTGTTATTCTCTCTCTTGACTGAAGCGGGACTTTGTCCGTTTGATTACGAGGTGACAGGGAGAAGTTGATGATTCATGGAATAGTGGAGAAAGACTTTATAGTCGTAATTAGGCAAATTTCCAGAATTTTCCAATTCGCGTCTGGTTTTGGAGGCCAGCGTTTGGCATTGAGTTCCTTTGTAACGGGTTGAGCCAAAAAGTCAATTTTCRATGCATTTTTTGCATTTGCGTTTGATGCAMGARGTGRTTTTTYAATTCCGGGTTGTTGGCMTCTATTTATTCCGGAACTAATGAAGGAWTTCTCAAAAAGGTGTCTGCGTTTTGGGGTCGTTTTACAGGCCGGAGATTTSCATTTATGTCCTCCGGAACTTGCAATGCCAGTAWATCAATTACTGATGCATTGAGTAGGGCAAAGCTCATTCTTCAAYAAGTAGATAAAGTTTCGATTTTGAGCCATCATTAGACAATTTTTCAAAATGTCCTTTAAATTTTCGAAGTAGTTTTTGCAGGCTGGAGTTTGGCATTTATTTATTTAAAAACTGACGAAGTGAGACAGTCGTGTTGATATGCGTTTTGTAAAGTAAACCCTCTTCTACAAGAATGTAAAGTTTAGATTTTCTGTCGTTCAGAAAATTTTTGACAATTTTCAAAATTTCATTTGGTTTTCGAAGTGGTTTTTGCACTGCCAATGTGAGAGAGAGGATTTTGCATATGTTTTGTACGGTTGTAAACGTTTCGATGTTGGGTCATCTTCAAAATTTCCATTGCTTACTTTGACACATCTATACACATCGTGAGATTTTCAATTTTGACAGATTGACAGACTCAACGAGTCTGTCACAAAGGCGGCTCAAATCAATTGATTTGAGCCGGTTTCTGTCAAAATTTGACGCATAAAACACACTTTTAAACAAAAACTCACTGTTGCCATTGCAACGTACATTCTGACAGATTTTAAGGCTTTTAAGGTAAAATCTTTGAAATTTGCGAAAATTTCTTAGAAAATTGCGCTATACGGCACGGACGTTTGCGGCTAGCCCGTTTGTTTTTTGCAAAGCATTATTTGATGAATCCACAGACGCCTATCGAGTGCACATTATAAAAATATTTTTGTAATGTACAGAGTGTCCCAAAAGCCCTAAAAGTATCAAAGTTGTGTTTTTCTAAATGAAATACCCTATATA